TGTGTGTGTGTGTGTGTGTGTGTGTGTGTGTGTGTGTGTATGTAAGCTTGCCTCTCATTCTGGGAGAGAGGAGGAGTTAGGCTGTAATTAAGTTAAGGCAACAGATGTCTCCACATGAAGACAACCACACTGTGCAGTGCACAATATGCACACAAACGCACACTTGGCCACATCATACATAAATTAGGAAGTACTGAAGGTTTATCTGACTATCCACGTACAAGTGTGGCTACTCTGTGGTAAGAAAGAGAAAAATGCTGGTCAGGTCTGGAAACTGAACTGAAGAGGGACACAGATTTTAGGTCAGTCTCTTACTCATGTTATGTAAAAATCTAGCTACAACGCTGTCACGAAGGAGCAGAGCTAGGCAGTAATGAAGCAAATTTATTTGAGTACTACACTTAAGTTTTTGAGAATTTACTGTACTTGAGTGGCATTTTTTGGAAAACTTTTTACTTTTACTCCACTACATTTTAACAATAAAATCATACCTTTTTCCAGCAATATTCTCTAAAGGCTTTAGTTACAAGTTACTTTTTGGCCATGTTTGTGTAGTTTGTAACTATTTTGTTCCACCGAAACACTAAAATTACATGGTACATCGATATACAATAGGTGGTGAAATGCAGCTTTATCCTGGTTGCAAGGAAAAAAAAGAATAGTTTCTGTCCCWCTAGTGTTGTCTTATAGGTACAATAGGTATAGGTATACTAGACATGTTTCAGCACTATTACAGGTCTTTGTTAAGATCTTGATTAGTTCCTCCTGATTTTAACTTGGACTCATCTCATTTAAGACCAAAGTTAGAGCATTTTAGACCTTTAGTCCCTTTGTTATATTAATGGATTTCTATGAAATAAACTTTGTTAAATTGCTTTGTACAAAAGTGTTTCTAGTTTATTGTGACAAATATTACTTTCAATTTAGCAAACTAGTCCAAATATTACAAATAAATAATAAGCTCAGTGTGAAATCCTTCTCCTAAAGATTAGATTTAGAGCTCCTAATTTGTCATTAATGCTATAACTATCAAAAACCTTTTCAAGCCTTGTCCTTGAAGTGGTGACTAGAGATGAGCTTGACAGTGCATGTAAAAGGGGTATGAATACGAAGATAAATTACAGTGACGTAGGGGTAGGTGTTCACCTTGCAACCAGAGCATTGCTGGTTCAAATCCCTGAGTGCATATTGTCGTTGTGTCCCTGGGCAAGACACCTAACCAGACTTCCCCATATGTAAATAGGTGGGTGTGATTGTGGTGGTCTGGAGGGATCGAAGGTGCAGAATGGCAGCCACACTTACACCACTGAGTGTGACTGAGAAATGAAGGAATAATGTATGAAACTGTAAAGTGTCTTTGAGCACCTAGAAAAGTGCTTATTCTTGACAACACTCAAGTGAAATGAATTGCTTAAAAACTTCAAAATTTTAATTACTTTCAGTATTTACGTATTTTTGAAAGCACACATCTTGAACTTTAATTTAAGTAATTATTTGGCAGAGCTACTGTCATCTCTGGTCTTTGTACTAATCAAAAAGTAAAGCCAGATAAGTTAGATTAATTATCTATTCATTTGTCCTTATCACCATATTCAAATTCATATTAATCAAAAACAACTACATTTCTGAAAGTGTTAAGTGTACCTTGATGCAAGTTTAACTAATAGCACCGTCTCAAACSGGGACTGACTGGAATCTCTATTTTTTAGGACTCCTTGCAGTTTAAAACAAAGCCATTTTAATCAGAGGAACAGAGTTAGCTAATTGGTTGTGTTGTGTTAAAACCCACAGTTAATTTTCACAGTGGAGTTTTTTAATAAAAGTAAAGTAGGAAGATTTGAGCACTAATTGTGTGTGAGAGTTTGTGTGTTAACCTCATCAAAAGTAAGAGAGCCTACAATGCTGAGTCACACTAAGGCAATAATGTGCTTTTATGGTCTAATTTGATTTTGATTAACTTGACTGGTAGGTTTTTGTGTACGCTAACACCATGCAGTAATTTTGTTTTCATATGCTACTAGGGTGGCTGTGAATATTGTTGCATGTGCATCTCTGTCAGTCCTTGCAATAACGAGGAATGGACAAAATAAAGAAGCCAGAGATGATGGCACACTTTTCACTACCACACATGGATGCTGTGTCTAGCAGAGACCTCAGTCTAAGAAAAGCAAATACACAACTATACAAGCACACACCTGACAATATATGCTCCAGTGGCCATGAAATTACAACATGGTGATGGGGGTTCATACTGTCATGTCATTACCCAGCAATTCATGTCAYGAGATTAACAATTTGGCTATTGCAGAAAAGACACACAATGTGTATGTGTGTCAATGAGAGGCTGTGCAAAGGTAAAATGTAGGTCCTGGTATTAGTACACACTTTTTTTAAGTCTTAATGGGCGTGGGGGTGAACTGTCAGCTGGAGGGAAAGACAAGAACGCGAGGTGGAGATAACAGTGCCTGCAGCGCAGATGAGTAGGGCAAGGAGGATGAGAAGAGGTGGCAAACTTCTTTCTAGCAGCAAGGTTGGGAAATAGTTATTTAATTTTATTTACTGTTTTGTTTTGTGTCCTACAGCCTCTGAGACATAAAATAAATTTGAAGCTGAATTTTTGAAAAAATACATGAGATTTGAAAAAAATCTGTGATATTTCTCTCTATGTCTACCTGCAAAATGGGGGGAAATCTGTGTAATTTATGGTACAACTTAATTTACTGTACAATGCATAACACAATGAAAAAAATACTGTTCCCTTTTGCTTGTGTGGGCATTTTTGCTTATAAAAATATTAAAAGATGCATTAAAATTGTGACATCTTCAACTGTGTCTCTGTGGTCAGGCCAAGGAAGCAACATATAATATACTGTATGTAATCTGTAACTTAATAGTGAATAATGTTTTGATTGCATGTATTGCTCTTAATTTCAAGAAAGTATATACGGTATAAATATAATATAAATACAGTTTTTTCTGCATAAATTTAATATACAGAAAATTTCCATACATATGACTGCAATAATATTTAATGATATGCAGATGTAGATACATGTCACAAATAGTTGTAGTTGCGATATTTCTATCCAAAATTGCTTTAATTTTTGTCCTTTTACCATAACTGTTGCACAAAGCTTTTTTTGTTGTTGTTCTTTCCAAATATCTGTGGGCAATGTGGCAGCCAGTTCACATGTAAAAGCAAAATGTTACGCTTCTGTAATTAGTGTTTTGAGCCAAATGAATCCAGGCACTGTCAAAAAGTGTTAGGAAAAGGAACCTGCGCATTGTATCAATAAGGATTAATAACTTGTAGCCAGCTAAAAAATGTTAATCACTGCAGTACTTTTTCACAGAGCTATTTGCTTTATTAAATAAAGGTGGTGACTTTTCTTTGATCAGGTAGTGGATTAACCTTAATATGACTAAGATTTTCCACAAAACTTAATTCTATCATTACTCACTTTCTGAGTTAAGTTAATGTGGTGGAACTAATACTTTTCTGTTTAAGCAAGTAATTCATGATAATCTTTAATGACCTAGGTTTTCATGACATGCTGTTCATCTGCAGACAGAATGATTAAAGTCAGAACAAGATTTGCTAACAACAGTCATTCTTAGATATCACTTGTGTTTATCTTTGTGTTTTCAAATCTTGCTAAGATGACAGAATGGTGTTTGTTAATATATAT